CCGGCGATAGGCGACGACCTGCTAGAGTTGGACCGAATGATCGGTCAGTGTCGCCTTATGTGTTTGCTAAATTCACACCACTCTACCTCGCGCGCCTGACCATACACATTCGTATGATTGGTTGACGGCAAGTTTTGGCGTCGGGTCGATGACAAAGGGCGACACCCAGGTCAAAAACTAGTCTCATACACCTACGCTTAGGCGTGTTCGCCTCGTGTGTTCCGCTGATAAAATTCGGCCCAAATATCATACCAAGCCCACGAAAGCCTCTCATAAGGTATTAACGCCAAGATCTCGCATTGGTTAGTGAGGAAATTAACAAATTCACGTAATGACATGCCTGGTTGAATGCTTCACCTCTTCACCGCGCCACCATGTGTGACCAACCTGATCTTTTATCGTCACAATTAAGACGATTTTTACGACATCGCTGATGCTGAGACGGGTTCTCTGTTAAAAACCCGTCAGATGTAGGTTGGGAAGTCGCTTTACGCATTTGCAGTGCCTTCTGAAAAGGTTTTGTACTTTTTTGTTCTGCCTGATTAAACGTGCCGCTCTTTCCCATACGTGTCTCACGCTAGCAAAATTTGCCGGATACAGCAACTTCCTCTGAGGCGCACTTTTGGCTTGCACACTAAGGCCTTCGACTGCAAGTCGCCTGTTGCCTGTATATGTGCAATTTGAGTTTTACGGGTGTCTTCTACAGCCTGGTGCTTGGAGAGCATTAGAGACCGTTGCGCAATCGGTCGTAGGCTGTTGAAATTGCTTCAGGATAACTGCCAGGTCTGCAAATCCCGTCAAGACATGCTTAAATAGTTGATTCTACACGCTTACTGTCTGAAATATTGCGGTAAACGCCAAATGTGAGTAACGGTGAGTACATAGGTTTGAATGGCAACATTGTTATTTAGGTATATCGCGTTGTCTATGGGATTTATAGTAGTAGACGTAGTAGTTATAGTGGGCTAAAAACAGTGAATTAGCAGTTTTTTCAACTGACGAGATAATTCGGACCTCGAGGTCAACCTACTGTGTGTGTATGCGTGAAGTGGCCGACTAGGAGTCAGGCTGCACTGACTCCTTAATATAGCCTTAATGGTACTACCAATCCGTCGGAACCGAGCCAGACATAGCGACACGCCTAGGGACGGCTCTGGTCGTGTTAGCCACTTCCGAACCCCTCCAGCCTCCGGTCTTCTTGACTAGGTCACGAAACCGGGCTCCGATGGGGGAGAGGAGTGTTTACGATAGATGCTGCGCAAGTATGAGACCGCTATAATCTAATTAACGTGCCAGTTGCCGTCCCTGTGCCAAATTGCAGTGGCGCCATCTTCGGACTTTGTCGGATTCGGCAGTCGAACTGTTAGTAGTAGTAGTAGCTTTAGCAGTAATAGTAGCAGTGGTAGCCGTGGTAGTGGTAGCAACAGTAGTATTATTATAATTATTAGTATTATGTAATGCTCAGGGAAAGTCAATTCACAAAATGTACAAAGGATTAAATAACAGGATTATCTACAGGATATGAGTACTTTTCTCTGTCCCAATCTTTTGTCCAGTTTTTTTTATCTATGGTTCCACACATTCACACGTGTCTACTAAGCCTAGCAGCCATTCCAGTGACCACTTCTGTTTTCAAGCCAAATCGGTGCACTTGTATCCGAAGCCTTATTCGACTACGGGGAAGCTCACGTGCATTAGGACACTCACTTCTTCTCACGCCTGCCAAAATAAACCCAGCCTCTTCCATGTTTGTATGCAGCTTTAAAAAATGTTGACTATTGTAAAATCTGTTCAAACATGAAAGCTTCAAGTAGTGAATTGATGTTCCAGCTTTTCGACACATCCTCTTATCTGTTTTTCTGTTTTCTTTTTATCTCTAAGATCTTGTCGTTTGATCCGGCAGGCCCTCCTCAGCAATGACTTCCTTAAACAGCTGGATCCCATCCAGGTTAAGGAAATTGTTAATTGTATGTATGAGAAACACATCGAACGCGGATGCTACATCATACGTGAAGGGGAGCCGGGTGATGCCCTCTACGTTTCAGCCGGTAAGTTGTTATTGGCTTACTTGTGTACTTTATTTTGTCTACTATGACAGAATTTCGGTTCGGCCACAGAATTACATTATTTGCCACTGTGTCAGATATAAGTAGACGTTGTTATCCTCTCTGATTCAAAAACTAATTCGTGTTCACCTCCTTCTTCACCCAAATGTTTCTAAACCAGAGGGTGACGTGTGTGATTCTCGCATAGGCAAACATTCCCCAACAAATGATCTAACTCAACTGGCACTTTAGGCGGAATGCTGGATAATGACGAAGCTACTCCAGGTTTAAATCTTATGCGTCACCTATCTTGTGTTCAGAGGTCTTCCTGATTTCTACCGGATCTGTGATCCCAGCCTGATACCCTGGATTGGAAGGCTGCCAACTGACGCTTATACCAGACCACGCCATCAGCCTAGTGCGCGTTGTGTGTATTGATTGGCTGGTCA